AGTAGAAGTAAAAAGCATCAGGTGATTTTTTTCCTGTCTGGACATACAGATCTACATTACACAGATGGCTCAAAGTCCTTGACTCATTGCCATTTTCTCTTTTTATCTCTAATCAGGACTGAAGAAGGAGGGAGAGCGAGAGAGCGGGGAGAGAAAGAGAGAGTTAGCAGTTAATAGACTTCCAGTGCTCCCACTCATGAGAATGCCCTGACTCCCCAAGCGAGCTGACCATTCAATCAGATCAGCACAAACTAGCCAGTGGCGGTTCATTATCTAAAGGAGCTCCACGCTGCTGCCTTGAAGTTTTCAAAGGGAGATGAAATTGCGTTGATTGTTGCGGGGGTGTAGGAAGCAATGAGGGGAGTTTGTTTTTGTGATGTCCCTCTCATAATTAAATCCTAAACATCCTCTGCAGTGTAGGTGTATGTATGTGGGATCATATACAAATTACTGTACAGATGGGGATCCCCTTTGTGTGTTGTGGGTTAAATATAGCACTTAGTGTTGCTATAGAAGTCCTTGAATGGTAGTAGGTATATGCATAAATGTGTTTAGTCACTGTAGTCATGCAGGCACATGGCATTCTGCATAGTTGTTAAAGCTTTCTACACTAGCAATACAACAAGTGTTCATGTGAGCACAAAACAACAGAGCGTCCCATATTTGTCTTGAGGGCTTCATAACACTGTGCCGTCTGTGGGAGAATCCATTCAATCTGGAATGCTGAAGTTGGAATTTCAATATTGAAAGACCAGATAAGGGTATGGAGAGAGGTACATCTTGTACTTGAAGTGATACTGTTTGATAACTGCAGGCATTGTCGTCCTATCAAGGTCCTGAGAATAGATTAGACTGTATTTCTCTGATTCTCCCTCATACGTCATATCTGAGCGTCACTAGAGTCTGTTTGTCCTAAAGGTGCGTCCGTAATCACACTGATAACTCTCAGGAAGATTTGAGAAGTTGAAAATGAGATTTAAATTATTTTCTCTGAGGGAAAATGACTCAATTTGTAATATACAGTACAAAAGGTACCTCTTTTTTTTTACATTGACAACAATCAGACCAAACCCTAGTTAGCCAGTAATTGCTGAGGTTTGTCTGTGCGAGGCCTAAGCTTTTGTCCTGCGTTGGAACCACGCCAGCTGTTCCACTTTTACACACTGCATTAGAAAAGTACAAAACATGTCCCTGAAAGCTGTCTCATGTTACTGTGTTGTGAGGGTTTGATTGGTTGAGTGTAGAGAGCTCATTTGGCCCTGTGTAGGATAGATTTTCACCCGTGGATAAATTACATATTCTCTGACAGAAAAAAATATTTCAGACAAAAACTTTAGACATTTTCACCTCATACTATATATATCAGACTATAATGTGTACGGGTTTATGCATACAGGTTGCACCTGGGAGTCTCTTCACTGTCTGGTGTCTGGAATGACATTTGTGGATCAAAGACAAACACCAAGTTTGCAGATTAGAGGGTCTGGTCTCTGCAATAACATAAAGGGTTTTCACAGGTGTAACTGGATAGCAGGTTACTTTACAGTTGAAAATGGAAAGAAACAATGAAGCAGTAATTCATAGTAATTTTCTGAACTTTGGCTACATGAGAGTTTATCTGGAATCCTTCTTTTTGTATTAGGCAGGTTATGTAATCTCATAATAAACACTACTAGCATTACATCTCTTACGGGTGCACCTCGAAGCCTCTCAGAAGAAAAGAAAAAAATCCTCAGGAACCTTAGCACATAATAAAAAAGGAACAAAACCTCAGATTTTACTATATGTGAAAAGTCCAGTATTTGATCTTTACACTAGTTAAACCCTGAAAGGAGCTTGTTGTAGCAACATGTTTATTTTTTGCTTAAAGAGATGCACTGACATTACATCAAACAATAGACACACACAATACGGCCACAATGAACTGACAATGGATTTCATACATTTACACTGTCACATTCTGGTGTGTGTGACCAGACAGTCTTTGCAAATTGACACCACTACATTGAGATTTAATACATGTGCACCATCTACTGGATATTTTGTGATACTACAATAATATGACTGTTTCAATCTTACATCAATTTATTTGCTCCTTCCATTTATGTAAGACTGGCAGGACTGAAGATACTTCATAGATTATTAATTGACAGATTTTGTGGCTCTCTAGAGTCAGTTTTAAATATGTAACGTACATTGTTAGATTACATGTTTTTGTACTAATGTGTTTAAATTTTGAATGTGTGTTTTTTCTGCTTGTACATTTGAAACATTTCTGTAATGTGATTAGTGCAAACATGCAGAAAAGGGTTCTGTATATCTACCTGTTTATTGACTGAATGTGTCTCTATTTCCTCATTTTTCTAGTGTCATATAATATATAATCCACATTATAAACTTCCACTGCTGTTTGGCGAGAGTTTAAAGTGTGAGACCTGAGAACTTGCTAAAACCACAGATTTTGTCTGTAAAGGTTTCATAACTTGAGACATACAGAGTCTGTCTCAGATATTCTTAAACATACTGTAAGGTTTAGTGGCATTTGGCAAAATATTTACACTCAAAAGCTGCCTTACAAAAAAACATCTAATAAATTGTATTCTTTGCCCAAAAATAAAGATCATGCTCAGTCTTCTCTTCTTTACTGTCTTCTAAATGGAAAATTTCTGTTTCTATCACAACAAGAAACTGTTACTCATTAACTTACAGTGTTGGGAAGCTACTTTGAAAACTTTGTAAGTTACTAATAAACTATAGCAAAACTAACCTAGAGAAATATAGTTTCTTTAACTTATGCTACTTTATACTACTAAAAAGTAGTATAAAAACATTTGATTGCAAAAAGTGTTCATTTGTTCACAGTTTATACTACATAAACCACAAAATAATAGACAGCCATTTTCATTTACTTTTATGGCCCAAAATGTTTTGTAGTTTCAGTCATTAACTACACAAAAGTGATAGAAAAATGAATTTAACTCTTTGAATCACTATGTTTTGTAGCTGAAAAGCTACAAAACATAGCTAGCAAGCTACTGCAAAATGTAATTAAATGATTACTTTAATTACATATAGTTCACTACTCCCCAACACTGTTAAGCTAAATAGTTCCTTAATCACGGAACTAAATGTGGGTCGTCCAGTCAAACAGTGAATCAATAATGTTACAAAAACTGGGAGAAAAAGATGAAATGAGTCTAGTTAAGAACAGAGACCACTGGTGCTAGTTAATTGTAAGCCAACACTCATTACTGCAGGAACCCACAAACATAATCACAAATGTCTCAAAAAGCATTTCACCATGCTATAAAGTCTCTTGAAATATATGAATTGGTATTTTGAAATATTAAAATTAAACATGTATTTGATCATTAAGAATAAATGTCAAATAACGGATAAGCATTTGCTCTCTTTGTGTCTTTTGGGATAAAACTGCACCATTCAACTTTGTGAGTTGGCGCCCCCGAAAGGCATGAGAGGAAACTTCTTTATCTTCAGAAATTATGTGACTCAACAGGTATAGGGTTAGCTTTATAATAGTTGATGGTAACAATACCAGAGTGGAACATGTCCAATCACTTATATTTGTGTTTCTGATTGTATGTTTTATGTTTTGGGTGGAAACGTTTTTAACAAAATAGCATATTTTCATTTGGGCAGTCGGTGAATCTATGGGCTTTCAGAAAGATCAATTATAAGCACATAGATTATAGTTTTGAGGCAAAATATTTTCAGTATAAAGGTCATCTTTTGTTTCTGTTATATATGATATTTATTTTTCGTTAATTTATATACAGGTTCAGATAGCACAGTATGCAAAACTGAATCTATCTGGCTATAGTTCCTGCTAGAATTTGAGTGAACTGACCCTTTAACGCGACAGTACTGCAGAAACTTACCAAAAGAGGGCGGTAGTTTATCAGACATGAGTGGCTACAAAGGAAATGTATGTAATATCAGAAGGGTCATTTAAAAACTTGAGATTGTGGTGTGTTAAAAATGTTAAAGTAACCGTGGGAAATGTTATCAGTAGCCGGCAGAACACATTACAGTGTACAGTTTGTACATCTTCAGCTATGTAAAGCTGCATGTAAAGCTCCCTGTGTGGATGAATACAGCAGGGGGCGCTGTGCACCGTGCTTTCAGCTGACAGCACATGAGCTGCAGAATAAAACGGACAGAGTTGAAATCTCCACTTTAAATGACCAGCGAAACAATATATATATATATTTTTTTTTTACATTTTTGTTTATCAAAATGATCCTCAAAATAAATAAGTAAATAAATATTAAACTGCGCACTGTTTACCTTCCACATTATATACCGTGTGAATGAGTGTACAGATCTTTGCCGTCATTTTCTAACAGTCTCAGTCTAATTTGCATACACACACACACAACACGGACAGTGTGGAGGAATTTACCCGCAGGCAATATCAGTTCAACGAGTCTTTTACCTATCTCTCCCATCTCTTTCACGTAAAGTTCACTGTCCGACAGCACCTTTGAATGACAATGGGAGTCTGTGGGAGGCTGGCTGGCAGCCTTACAATAGGCTGAATAAAGTGTGATCTCTAGGCACTGTTAAGAAAACATTGCATAAAAACATTAAGGGGACGGTTTGGCTGCAGGATTAGGCTTTAGAAAGACTATGGCTGCTATTGTGTTGTAACATCTTGGTGCCAGCCTGCGGCTGATGCAGTTGTTGAGAAAGACTGGACCTATATGTAGTTGTGTGTTGTTGTATTTTTTTGGACAGACAGTCTCTGGAGGCCTACAGAGCTACATGTTCACCCAGTGAACAGGTAAATGCAAATCTAAAGGGAAAAAACCACTCAGGGCACTGAGGTATGCGTGCATAGGCGCTCTTGGCTAAAAGGCTGGGTTTCACCACCACTTCGCCTGGAGCACGAGAGGGGGGAAACTGTGGAGCCAATGAGAAGGCAGCTTCCAGCTCAGTTCTCTATAACTCTGTGTCACAGGGGCTGAGCGATGCCACAACCAAGTTCCTGCAGCTGGGAGAGTTTCAGTGGACTATAGACTTTTTCCTAAGCTGTGCGTTCAAAAGAGCGTGCGCGCGCACACACACACCAGTTCTTTTGTTGCGATTTTACTTTGCGCACTCCACAACGAAAGAATCCACCAGTGGATTTTCTTTCTTTTCTCTGGAGGGCTGCTTTCACCATGAGCGCCGGACAGACGTATGAGAAGAAGATTGCGTGCATTTTGACCGATCTACCAGGATCTATGAGTTGCCACCCGAACTCCAAGGACTCTCCTACTCTCCCCGAGTCTTCGGTGACGGACATGGGCTACTACAGCGGACAGACGGCCCACGGCCAGCACGAATATTATCAGAGTCAAGCGTACGGACAGCCCATGAACTCTTACCATCACCAGTTTAATCTGAACGGAATGGGAGCCGCTGGAGCCTACGCCACCAAATCTGAATATCCGTACACAAATAGCTACAGACAGTACGCACATTACAACAGAGATCACCTGCAGGCCTCGCCTCCAAACTCAGGTAAATGTTAAGATAATTTGTGGAATTTTTAATTTGATCGATTTAATGTCAGGTGTGCATAATGTTATTTGCGCCTGAAGTTGACAATACAAAGAGTCTTTAATAGAGCCCCGGTTGCATATGGAAACATACTGAACTACCAGCTATTTATTTCTGTTCTGTTTTATTTATTATCTTCATTTAATGTATCATCTTTCGTTTTGTTTTTTAAATTTCGCTTTAGTTTAATGGAAAACATTTGTGGTACAAATTGGAGACAATGAATATGCAGCGTGATATACTGAAGTTCAGTCAAACTACACGCTTTCTTAGGTTTCATGTCTCCATAAATTCTATCTTATGATGCCAGTTGTATTATTCACTCGCCCCTGTTTGATTTATTATGGATTTACAGGTTAAAAAATGAACCTTTGCTCAGTGGAAGCCTACCGGCTGCTGGGTCGTCTTTTAACAGCCCGCCTGGGAAGGAGCCAGCCATTAACAGCTGGCCATAAAACAATGATGGTTTGATTAAAACTAATAATATTCACTCCATCAATTTTAATATGTTACTACTCGCCTGCCAATTTGGAAATTTGACAAAATAAATTGATCCTGGCTCAGTGATGTAGTTTTTGTTTTGAGACACTTTTTTAGCCGCATTTTAGTTTTTCTTTGAGATATTATTGTGACAAAATATTTGTTGTATAAGCGTTTTTACGCATACATACTCTCATGTCAGCTCATCCACATTGTGTCGCGATGGTGTCACTTTTATTTCACTAAGCTAAAGTTTTACACACGTTTTCCATAATGGTGTATTTCATCAAAATATTTTATTCCTTTTTTAGTGAAAGAAGAGCCAGAGCCAGAGGTCCGCATGGTGAATGGAAAACCGAAAAAGATCCGTAAGCCGAGAACGATCTACTCCAGCTACCAGCTCGCTGCTCTGCAGAGGCGCTTCCAGAAGGCGCAGTACCTCGCTCTGCCCGAGAGAGCGGAGCTGGCGGCTCAGCTTGGCCTCACTCAGACACAGGTAAGATATAACACCTGGTAGTTTCTAATTGATCAATACTTTTAGAGTCAGACGAGTTAGGGCCTCCCAATATAGCAAAATATTTGCTCAGTAATCAGCTATTCATGCGTAATTACACACAGCTGACACTGGATTTCTGTCTCTCGGTGTGATACACTTTTTTTTAGATACAAGTTAAACAATTATAATCCTCTATTTTCTCTTAGTAAAATACTGCAGAATTGTACTTTTATTAAGTTTACATGCAAGCTTACATTTATACAAACATTCTACATATGTTATAGCACGTTTAATCTAAGTTTCCTGTTGCATTATAATTAATGTTCCCATTGGTATTCTTCCAGGTCAAGATCTGGTTCCAGAACCGGAGGTCCAAATTCAAGAAACTGTACAAAAACGGCGAGGTTCCCCTGGAGCACAGTCCTAACGCCAGCGACTCCATGGCCTGCAATTCCCCGCCCTCCCCGGCTGTGTGGGAGAACAGCACGCCTCAGAACACCCCGATCAGCAGACCTCAGGTCCCGCAGCCGACGCACAGCTCGTCGCCGCCATACCTGGAGGATTATAACAACCACTGGTACCAGCAGGGATCACACCTACAGCACCCGGGCACCGTGCACCACCCAGTCCCACAGCAAAGCGTGGGAGCTGTTTATTAACAGTGACTTAAGAGCAGATTTAGCGCCTCATATTTTATTTTTGTCAAAAGAGGTCTCTCCACAATGACTCTGCAGAGCGATGGTTGAGTGGACCGGGAGCAGGCCTGAAGTGAAACATTGCTTTTGGTTTTTGGATGATCAAGAATGTTTCAGAAATGGGGTTTACATTCACAAAGCACATAAGGGATTTCTGATCACTTGTGGCATATTTAACGGACATCTGGCGTGGTTTTTTTTTTAAATTATTTATCGCTTCTGATGTATTTCTTCAACTTCTTTTGTAAATGAATATGCAAAGTTGTTTTTTTTTTCAAACATGTAGCCTAACCACGAACCGAATATTGACAAAACTGTGCAGTTGATCCATGCTACATTCAAATCATGCATGTGAGTTTGTAGAGAGTGCGTCCAAAACAACTCAGGTCATATTTATAAAGATTTGTATAAAACGTCGAAGGCTGTAAATATGTGTTTATATGCAGAACCACTATGATCATATTTGTCTGAAATGGAAAGACTGCACTGTGGTGCTTCCAAAACCATTTTCATATTCATGTAATTAGTCCACTTGCTGCCTTCTTGTCAATTGAATAAAGGTGTTACTTGCATGTTGTGTGTCTAGCCCCTTTATAAACAGGTTACCGTCCGGCCTCCAAACCGTGCAGATAATTCACTGTAGGGCCGATAAGGTCCACACCACAGAGAAGTAACTTTTCTTTGCTCGCATTAGTTTCACCTATTGGAACCTTTTTTATAAATCAAATAAATTATTTTGATCGCTCTCTTAAATACAAATAAATAAATAAATACCTTACTTGCATAAAAATTGCTTATTGCGTATTAACAAAAACGAATATTTAATAACAATATATGCATCTTAAGGTCTAAATAGGAACTCATCCGCTTGTGAGAACAGTTTTGTACGGTATTACACTGGGCAGAGGATTGTAGTGCTAGTTTTTAATGCACTGATGAATCCTTTTTTTAATTAGAATTTTGTCTAAACCAAAACTGTCTCTGCAAGATATTTTTGACCTCATCAATTAAAGATAAAAAAGGTTATTTATTTCACTGGTCCAAAGGGTTAAAAAGACTATAATGTTCACAGCACAGTGGACCGACCAGTTTTTGGTGCTGTGAGCTGCGTGCAAAGCGCTGCAGTAGGAGGCGACATACAAGCAGACATGTTGGAGTCACTCGATTTTATTACTGTTCTGTTGCCAGATAACAAGAGAGAGAATTCAGCGCGTTGCAACACACACACACACACACACACACACACACACACAGGGTTGTGCGGGGGTGAAGCCAGTCTTTTGCCGAAGGGGGTCTCACGCATGCGCACGCGCACGCGCACAGCGGGATGGACGGAAACGTTGCCAAATATTGAAGGTATAAGAAGACCCCATTGTTTTTTGTGTTTTACTGTAGATATTTGATTTCATTCTACTGTATTTAGCAAGATAGTTCTCCTGACAAATGATCCAAGTTGCTGATAAGCAGGTTTTTGCCCTGAGAGAGCTCATTGGTCATTCATATGAAGACTCACTTTTTACCGAATACATTTAAGCACATGTTCCGCGATTTATGGTAAAGCATTCAAGCTTGAAAAAAAAAAGATTAAAGCCAAAGGTTTTCCCAGGTGATGAAACGGCCTAATGGGAGCGAGTGTGACACATGTGAAACCTGGGGAATACAGTGATATTAATTAGTTGAGAGATGCTGGATAAACATGACAACTACTCCGGTAATGACAGCGACAGTGAGGCAGTCCTCACAGCTAATAACTAATGTCAGTGGACAATAACCACGGTTTGGCCACATGAACTCTGCGTTATTAAATAATCTGCAGGAAAAAGAACACATAATGAAGAAACTGCTAATGGCGATATCATCCATATGGACCACCAAGGCGCCATTACGCACTGAGAGAAAATGTACCCACGGCGTTATAGTGATTTTATAACCTTTTATAACCTGCTGCGTTCAGTCACTAGAATGGTATGCGCTAAATACTGAAGGTGTTACTGTATGAGACTTTATGGCAACAGTGTGTCATTACAATGATTTCAGAACATTACAGCTTAAAATGCGGATTTAAAAAGTCCTTAAGCGCCAGTGTGTGACCAAATATATTTTCACTTGTCAAGAAAAGATGTGTGGGAATTAGGGAACATTATTCTCTTACACAGTAATTATCAAATAATGTTACTTTATAGATATTCGTCCACATTAGAATCATGTATAATTAATTAATACAAATCTTAATAATATTTAATAAGAAATATCTTACTAAAACATTTTTTTTTGCTGAATATTTTTTTCACCTTGATTGTTTAGAGGCTTACACAACTGAAATTAAGGCCTGTACGTTAATGGAAATTATAGCATTACGCAATCCATATTAAGAGATTTAATAAATATTTATATCAGTAGATTTATTTTAAGCTAAATTAGGTTTAAGCTGTTATTGTAATAGCATAATATTTCCAGTAAAAAAAAATAATTTCATTTATTGTAATTGAACAAAGTAACTTATTAATACTTAATAATAATAATGAATATAGTTATTAATGCAATAATTTGCGATTACATATTTATATTAAAATAAATTTAAAATAAAAACTCATCTTTGTTGTTGTCACATTTACCATAAAGGTTTTTAGTGTGCTTCTTGGTTTCTTTGACACTTACAATTAATTCTAAAAAGTACTGTACATGTTTCTACCAAACTTAACACACATTCTGTCAACATTTTGTCCCAAAACTGAAATGTATCACAGCTCTGAGTCTCATTTCCCTAATGGCTTCCCTTTGGTTTATTTCCCTGAACTCAACACCAGTTGTCTACAGCATCACTCATCATTTCAGTGCACTGTGCTGATTTGACAAAAGCAACATGAGTACTATTGCCTTTTAATATCAATGAAATCTCATCAAGAGTACATGTGACCTCCCCTCTGTGGTTCCCTCAGCATGTGTGGCCCTCGGCTGCGGTTGTCAGGGGAAACATTTGTGCCTAAGACAAACGTGTGTGTTCGCTACAGGCTGTGCTTGTATGTGTGGCCTGTCAGACTTGTCCATATATGTCATCTCTAAACATTAACAAGTGTAAGTAGCCATGGAGGTGAACTGTTGAACTTGAATGTGATCCTGCATGGCACAACATCACAGCACCTTAAATAGAGCCGGTGCCCCCTGCAACAGCCAGCAGTGTGGTGTCGGCACTTGTCTCTAGGGTGCAGCGATATGGGTTGAGATGGAGGTCGGGAACTGAAATGCATCCATGGAAAGATTTCCAGCAGCTGTCCAACACTTTGTCCAGGCCTGGGCCGAGCCTCGGTCGCATTAGGATCACTCACTGTCTCCATTTTGCTTTAAACTGGGATGAAATGAAGGCAGAAAGGCATCCTTGACAGCTGAGGAACCGTGAACCCTGGTTGACCTCAGGCCAGGGCCCGACCGGGCTGTATGTGCTGATGCTTCACTGCCCAGTCATCACATCATGATAAAACCTTCCCCTATTTGGCTTCTCCATGTGCTCACCTTGACCTATATAAACTGAAAATGTTGCCTCCAGAAATGAGAATCAGCCAAACAAACAAACAAAAACTGGAAAAGCTTTAAAAATATAGAAAACAATCCAGTTAAATCCAGTGTTGTGAATCTAATCTGTGTGTGTGTGTGTGTGTGTGTGTGTGTGTGCATCATGCCCCAAACCAAGTCAAGCCTTCCTTCAGATTAAACCAAATCATGCATTCATTCTCTCTAACAGGGAAGCTGCTCACAATTACCCAAGATGTCAGCTCACTCAAGTTAATAACAATAATCACCCTGGAGACCTGCTTTGCCTTTCGTCCATTCAAAGAAACTGGGATTTAATAACAAGCTATTTTCCCTCTTATTGCTATCCTGCAATTAAACCCCATCAGACACCTCGTATCTGATAACTCCAACCATCCACAGCATTGATACAGCCAGACTTGCCTTTATCATTACCCTTCAACCCATCTCCCAGCCTCACGTCTCCTCTTAGCTTGTCTATTACACGAGGAGCCTTTTCACTTTCTCTTCAATCTGCCTGCATGATAATTGCCCTCCCGTTTGAAAGGTACTCCGTCTGTCCAACTCCACAAGCCATTATTCTAATCTGGAGATGTGAAATTGCCTATAATTTTCCCTGATGCCCCGTCACTTGGTTCAGCAATTCTCGCCTCTTCTTTCCCAGGGCCCGCATGTTTAACAAGGCACATAATCATCAGGAATGAGGGAAAGGGCACGAGGGGTGTATACATATATATAAAGAAGGAGATGTTAATGTAACACAATGCTTGTCGTTATGTGAGAAAATCAGCTTGGAGGAGTGAAAACACAGGGCTCTGATGTGGCTTTGTTCTTCAGAGAAACATCACTGCAGGCTTTAGACCTCCTGAACAAGGCTGCACTTCTCTGACTAAGGTAAGACAGGACTGTATGTAGCCTGTATGACCGGTGAGGTGGTGGTCATACCAGCTTGAATGTAGTTAAAAATGGGTATGATGTGTTGTCTTTGAATGCAATAATATTTGTGAGCATCCAGAGTGGCTTTGCTGTAATAAAACAGTGTGGTTTTATCTTAGAAATAACAGCTCTAGCAAATCTGTGTGAGAAAAGTGCACAATTAAAGTTCACTTAATTTATTAGCATTTAGTTGATATGGTAAAATCTAGCTTTTTATGCATTGTGATGGGACACCTTTGCTTAAGCATGAGATGTGAATAACCCTTAAATATTGGATGTCATGGCCCTTTAAAATGACATAAGCCCTGAAGAGTTACGCCTGTAATATAAATATAAATTTAATTCCAGTAATATTAGGAGAAAATGGTTCCACAAAACCTGCATGTATGATTGGTTAGTTATTTTTTTGGTCCTTGTGTGTCTGTGTGACATTAGACAAATTGTATCTAATGTTTGCCAGACAGCCAAGACATCAGGGTGACGAATGAAAAAGATAAAAAGAAGTTAGTGGATGTTTTTTAAACGCACTATTCGGCGTCATTAATCAGAACTCAACACCCCCATTTAATCGAGATCAGCCAAGATTGTGGGATGTGTGTTTGCGAAGATATAAATAACTAATTCTCTGTGTTTAAACAGTGTAAACGCCAGAATGTGCAAATCAGTGCAAACGACCATAAATCAGGCGCAGTTTATTGGAGGAATAGCAGGCCATTTGTCATTTTATTGTGACAACGGGGAGGTTTTCTGTTTTGAGCTCGCTCGAGGCGAAAGTGAAGGAAAATATTGTCCAAACGCCTGCTTGCACATCCTTCTCCTCACGGCATGTGCCCCTCACTGGTGACTTTTAGAGATAAAAATGTACGTTTGGTTGAGAGAATACGCACAGATGTAGCCAATGTGATTAAAATGTGTTGTCTTTTTAAATAACAAAATGAACTTAAACTAACAACAAAAAAAGACACCAGAACTCAAAGAAACTATTCGGAAAGCATGTGTCGTTATAGCCCCTTTGTCCATGCGTAAAAGTTACACAGAACACAACCGTGCGTAAAGTGGCACCCAGCACCCTCTTTGCTTCACCGTACTGGGAAGTATTTGGTGTTTGCAAGTGAGGAGCATTTTGTTGCCTATAAATTAATGATCATTTTAAAATTAAATTAAAAATTAATAGTGTAAACAAATATAAGCAACAGGAATCAATACCCACGTTTTGAGATGACTGTGGAAATCCAAGCAGATCTGCAGGTTTTTGTGGTGATGGACAAAAGACAGCTGATATCCCAGCTATGAATTATCACACGGACTGACCATTGTGTTGGTTAATACAAATCTGTACGTTAAGTAGCCAGTGTTGAAGTACTGTATTTTACCCCCAGATCACAAAGCCTTTTCTGTGGCAGATTATTAATCTACATTTCTGGAAACAGTTTGAGGAATAACATCACACGCTCCATTGCTTATCAATATGTTTGACAATGAAAACATTTCACTAATAGATCAGCAACCTAAGCAAACATGTCACACAACAAATCAATCACAATATAACGCCAATCCAACAGCTATTTATTTGCATAACGCTTATAGCATTTGTTGGATAATGCAGCTAAAACTCGTTGAAATAGACCCACGCACACAATATATTCTTTAAAAAGCCTTTATCCAGTCTTTTGCTAAACTGCACACACTGAGCCCACATTTCAGTGAGTTGCGGCCGTGCACCAGAAGTCTCACTGACATTGTTAACAAATCTGAAAAATAAATGTGATGTCTGGTCGAATTTTTTTCATTGAAGAGTGAATTCAAATCGCACACACAAATACAGGAAAAGTTCTATTAAAACACGCATTTAAACACAATTCAGTTCTGAGAAGAGGCCTTGAGAGCAAGTTCAGTGTAGTCTGAAGTGCGCTTCATATAGGCCTGAGCACCTGGCCTGCACGACCCCCGTAAAACAATCCACTCACATCATCTGAGGCCTGGGCATCGCGTCCTGGTGAGGATGGTGGTTTGGATACCAGTGACCAAAACTGTTCATGTAATTGTTTGGGTGCATTTGGGCTCCTTTGTTCGCCATGGAGACCTCCCAGAGCTGCGGCAACCCGGGCGAGCAGGGGGAGATGGAGCTAGTGCTGTGGAGATGTTCTCCCTCTGATCCGCTGCCATGCTTCATGATCTTTTTATACTTGGAGCGCTTATTCTGAAACCATATTTTCACCTAAAAAAGAGAAAATGCAGATAATTGTCACTGTGGTTAACAATCAGCAGTAATATAAAGGAAATAATACTGTGAAGGGCTTTTTTATGAGCATATTTCCCCCAATTAAACTCAATACACTTTTTAGAATTGGCCTGAAATGTGAACATTTGGGAGCAATAAAAGGGAAAACTCCTCATAACTCTCATCTTTTCTGTGTTATTTTTGCAAATCCCAGGCCTACTACTGGCCCATTGTTGGCCATTTAGCCTCATGGCTGAGTGGCACTTGTAATCCATTAAAACTGAGCTGTCTTATTGTTCGTTGTTTTATGAGTCCAATGGTGCATGAGTGCAACAGCAACAATCAGAAGACTAAGGAATATTGTGAAATAAAAACAGCCCAAAGCGCGCTGCGGTGGGTCACTGAAATTTCTGTTGATTCCAGCCTGGATGGCTATTTTTACACGAGAACAATGGTGTGAATAGTCATAAACTGCACCAAAAGGCCGAATGAATCACTCTATAAAGATCTAAGCATAAGAGGCGGCGCATAACTGGGAGAGAGTTGTTGAGATAGATGTTTAGGGATTAAGAAAAATGTGTAGGAGGCAGCTCAGATGACAGAGTCGATCCAATTGTTTATCTGTTTTTTTCTCGATGAAATGGCAGAAAGTGAAGTTTGAGAATGAGAAGTTGACAGCAACACGTGCACCTGTTATATTTATTATTTTGTATTTCACAACCAAAACACAAACCAAATGCAATCAATCGAAATATAGAGACAAGCAAAAAATAAATACGCCAATAAATAAATTCGAGTTAAGCCTATAAGTGACTGCTTTAATTCCACAAATTATATTTTATAATAAACTATTTCAAAACAGCGGACAAGCCCTCATTTGCAGACCTGTAATTCCTGATTTATTTATTTTCTTAAGATAATTTTGTAACTGCGGTCGTGCTTCATTCACTGAGAGCTCTTCAGGGACCAGGGCTGACAAAAGAAACACAGCCACGAAATTAAGTATAGTAAATAAGGCATGCATTAAAGGATCGAGTTACAAATCACAACAACTTGGTTTTTCATTTGATCTTCAGAAGCGCTGTGATCCTCAATAATACAAGCAGATAAGAGGCTTCCTTCCTCAACCGCGTCAACATCCACTTTCTCTCACCAATATTTCCTTCAGCCTGCTTTAAGTTGGATTAATTCAATTATAAAATATCAGTCTAGTGGTTCTGTTTATTAAGCCATTAAATGCTAAATATTGCAGGCCTGATATTTTAGGCTGGAGGGTTAATTGCTGAGTGATTGTTAAAACGCACAACCTCCTCAATTACCTTCATTAATAATAGGCTAATATAATGCACATATATTTGACTCTACATTCCCCCCTGATCCATTCAGGACTGCTGGATGAGTTGGGGGCCCCACCTGAGTCTGGGTGAGTCCCAGTTTGGCCGCCAAGTCGGCGCGTTCCGGTAAGGCCAGGTACTGGGTCTGCTGGAAGCGCTGGTGCAGAGCCTGCAGCTGCAGACTGGAGTAGATAGTCCGAGGCTTCCGGATTTTCTTCCCTTTGCCATTTAGACGGAGGTCCCTGTTTTCAATTGCCGTGGACTTCTCGCGATCTTGAAGATTGAATAGAGAAAAAAAACGATGGAATGGAATAAGGACATTTTTGATTTATAACTTTTCTTTGTAGGTCAGGTCAAAGACAGGTCATATTTGAACAGAGTTTCACCTTTTTCCTAACCTCCTAAAAACAAATCTACCATCTCAAACAACACGAGAGCACTAATAAATGGTTCAGAAACAGGGAATATAGTGCTAGATACTGAAACTGACAGGCCCTGCACTGCATGCTATAAACACAGCAGTCTCAGGGCCTGAAAGCCAAAAACTGTAAGTTAAGTTGTGCGTCTTAAATTATATTAAAGTGTCATGAAATCCCATAGCCATAAAAGGTCTGATCACACTTTTATTAAATCAAGTCTGCTTTATTGTAGGCTTAATGCTTTAGTGAGGGACTCACGTGGCATTGACAACACTTGTTATCTGCAAGTTAACTGGATCATAATATTACCTTCACACCTTGACAACAAACAATGCCACAAGAATCATTTTTAAAGAGGGTGGCAGGAGAACTCCCCAAAGTCCACAAAGATAAAGGGACTGCTATTTACTGGAATCGTGTTGTTAATGCGCACTAACAATGAGGGTAAAAACGAGCTCCTGAGGTAGGCCCGGGCTACACGGGCCATAATTGGACTTACCCACAGAAAATTATGGTCAATAAAATTTATGGCACCATCTGCCTTCATTATATAAGATGAGTGGTAAAGAGGGAGCATCTCTGGGAGGCGGTGGTTGAAAGCTAGGCCTTGTTTGGACATTAGTGATTGACTTAGATTATGGCTGCTGACGCCAACGCCTAATTCAGCTCGCAATGTGTTATATATTATACATCATATGTGACAGAAAATATTTATTTTTGTTGACTTATTAAAGTGAGCTATTTTTCCAAACAGGAACACGTCAGGGAATTTGGCGCCTTGTGCGTAATTGCGCTTAATCAGAATTGGGAAATCAGAATTTTATAGCCATTAATGATATAACAATTTAGTCCGGCTCGGTTTGACTTTCTCACATACCTGTGTGCTCTAATCTGCTGTGGGCCAGACTGCTGCTGTTGCTGTGATTGCTGTGCTGGTAGGACATGTAAGCAGACGGGGAATGATGGTTCACCGCGCCGGGGTAGGCGTAGCCCAAAGAGCGGCCATAGGACGCGCTGCCAGGAAAAGGACTTTCGTGCTGGGAGTGCCCAGCGGCATGCAAGCCATGAACGGGGTAAATGTGAGAGAGTCCTGGGGAGTGCTGCTGGTGTGCCGGATGTCCGTGGCCAAACTCTAGAAAGGCCGATTTGGAGGGATCTGAGGCATTCAGACTGTCAGGCATGAAACCCATAGACATCATTAGCTAATACGCGAGTCCATAAACCCGTCGCTCTGAAGAGGGTTTCATGAGTTCTGTCGGGCAGCGAGGAAAACTTGGAACAAATCCACACTTAAGTCCAGTGCATTGCTCGTGAAAAAAAGTCCCCCGCAGTAATAAGTTACAGCGTGCATGTTCACAACTGTTTAGGAGGCAAAAATCGAATAAAAGCGAAAGGGATCCTTTACATCATTGGAGGAGCTGACATGGTTCTTCAAACACCTCCTGCCTGCGGAGCCTCAAACATACTGCCTTCCATCTGCGAGCTCTGTGATTGGTCTTCAGCAGCCAGCTGTCACTGGAGCTCCACCATTAACTTCATTAACATATGATACAGGATGCAGCTCTGCAGCCAGCAGGGACCTCCTTCCATAGGCTATAAAATAATCTCTCATTTGGACATATGGAGACATTTTATTCTGGTCTATCACAGAATGCCACCAGGTCGTTTACCGTCAAATAAAAATCAGTTAAAGCACAGATTTAATACTGTTTTTTTAAATAGTAGATTTAGATCTTTGGGCTAAATAAATGTCTTTTTACTTTGCAAAGGAGGAATTTTATTTGTTATTGTGACAATTTTGTTGAGTTTTAAAAGACGAGGTACGATAATGACTCCAAATATCTGCGCAATGCTCTTTTACATAGATATGATATATAGGGAACTGCCAAATGCATCTAAATGAAATTCAGACCTATTAGACTTACCGTATCTGGTGTTAATAACTCAAATAAAATTAATTCGACATTGTTTCGTTTATATATATATAATCAGTGCGCTTAATTCCCTCTAGAAATAAAGTTTAAATGTCCGTTATTTAAATAATCGCTTTAATAATGTAATAATTTGCCAAGTTAATCATTAATCCTGTAACTGAATCGAATAGATGGCAAACAGCGCAGTAAAACCTCTATTTCCGCTGCGGCACCGGCTAATGAACAATTAATGCACCATTAAAGAGCTTTACTGAGGAAACACTTTCTGATATTTGGAATAGTGCGCCTTTAATTTTGCAACAAACACTCACATATTTGTATTTTTCTAACATTTTACAGAAAAATCGAAAACAGATGAATCAGATATATTTTACTATGTACAGACAACTTGGTTGTTTACACTGTGTCCACGCAGCATTACATAAGCATGCTTTGTGGCTCAGCGGTCATGCTGACTCAGGGTTGTTTTAGTTTTTAGAAGAACAACTTCACATTTTACTGCTCATTCAACACTCCTCATTCCTAGTTTCAAGGCATAAATTAGCCAGATTAGGGAGTAACTGATGTACAATAAACCTAATTAAAAATAGCACCAGGATTTTTACATAATTAGTAAAAAGCAGATAAATATTGTAATATAGGTGCAGTAATTACATAATGATTACTCTAAAAACAAATGCAGAGACAGAAAAATGACTCTGACCCAAAAGGATGTTTGATTTCATCTTTATATGAAACAGAAATACCCAGCCCACATTGTAACTGTTTTGTTTCTGTCTACTAGTTTTCACGCTGTCCCATGATACTTCATGGGAAGAATAAAGCGTGGAAGCATGGTAGTTACACACATGTCACTCAAATGATTTCTAACTAAATGTCAGAGTTTATAAAACAAAAAGGCAAACACTAACCTGACAAAGAAAGGCAGGATTGTGGTGCAGACTGCAGAGTCAGCAGAACTCATAAGGTGCATGTGGATACAGTGTGGGGAGAAAATGGTGACCACAGGCTCAAAGAGCAAGCCTGTCTCCATATTTCAGCGTCTATTGACTCACTCTCAAGCAGAGTAAATCCACAGGTGGAGAAAAACACAGTGGGAGGAGAAACGAATGGATTTCCTGCCAATGCAGGAACGTTTTAAACAAACTCTAATAGAGTCACCATGTGTTACAGCACAGTTTGATACAGATTTCACCTCAGCTAAATCACATGTAAGCTGCAGTCAAATTATAAGCAGAGTGTTTGGTGGGTTGAGCGTGGTGCTGAGTTGCTGTCCAACCCCATCATTTTGGTCATGTCCTATACCCTGCATAAAACTACTGGGAACCCAGCAGCACTACAGGCCTGCTGGGGGCTGGACTGCTTCCCGATTCCCCACAGGCCTCAGCCATGCAGCCAGCCAGAACAAAGCCACAAATTATTATCATAGTAAAATTTCAGTCACAATAAAAAAAAAAATAAAAGGTTGTTGAGAGGCCTCATACTGTGGGTGAGTTTCTGACTTCACACACAAGGCCTTGCAGCTGTAAATCCTCACTGGCAAATTATATCATGAGAGAATGCAGCATGTGGTTATGCCTATTAGAAATTTACTGCAACATTATTGGTGTTAGGAGTATGGTAGCAATATTTGCAGTTGGCACCCAGTGAGATTTTGTTTTCTGTTGTAGGAGCAGGTGTCGTGTTTAGAGCCTGTTATGAGTGGAAAAAACATCTTCTGTGGCCATACGGCGCGTAAGAAAGTCACACTTTTCAACAGATGAATGGGATCAGGGAGGCCAAAATGAAGATAAACACAAAAGTAAAGGCTTTGAAAGACACAGGCCCATGGGCATATATGTGCAGTTCTGTTGTGAGGCACTTCAGCAGATGAATGCAGAGGGTTGAGTCCGGGATTTGCATATCTGTCAAAATCGTGCAAATCAAAGGTGTAGGCACAAGGTGTATGAGGAGAGAAAGAAGGAGAGAGAAAGCAAGGTGAGGAGGCTCTTTAAGGCTTGTAATTATGTCTGTATAAGGGGTGAAGAACAAAGGCGAGCCCTGCAGTCATAGGGCAGGGATGAGTCCTCACCGTGGCTGTACTCAATACACGCAAAGGGATGTTAAAAACAGTCACACTCCTGAATGCAGCCCAGACTCACTGGCGTCTGTACATGGGCATACGTCTGCAGAGGTGTGTCTGACATAGGTGTGTGTTCCCAGCATGCTCTTTCTCTCTCTCTCGCACACACAGACCAGTCGAGTTTGTCCATCATGCAGCGATGATGCAGAGTGACAGCATTCTTTGTGTACAAACCAAGAGCACATTCCCATGCAAATACTGCGGCTGTGATCTTCCCCACTGGCACATCATGTTTTACAAGTAACCCTCTGTTGCTGGGGCCCGAGCTGAAGCCTATATAGACTCAGACTGACAGTCCACGACCCCGACAGGAGGCCAGGATTTATTATCGCAGGCTCACCTCACCACATAATAGACACATATAAAGACCTGTGTGCACTTTGGTAGTGCACTATGATGGTTCTGAAACTGAGGTGTGGTTTGACACAATTACCCCACCAGATATTCATCACAGAATCAAAGTGTGGACAACCCATAAGAAAAATGCAAATACCTTAAAAAAAGAACCCACTTTTGCTCATTTATAACCAGATGAAACAGATATATTCATCATAGATCACTAGTTATGTATGTTTTTTATACTTTTGGATATGATTCTGCCCATATGAATCATCTGCTTCCCTTCTTTTCTTTTATATGAAAGTTCTGATTAGTCAAGCTTTTTGTACTTCCTTCACTGTAAAGCAGGTGTCTGTCATTACCACTGTACAAGGCGGCTGTTTTCTCAATCCTTTTGCATCAACAAAGCCAATGCAAACAATAGGATTTGTGTTTTTCTATGACTCTTTTTAGCCTCAGGAAAGAGCGGGGAGCAGAGGAGGAGCCGCAGCAGTGCAGAGGATGAATGGCCTAATCTTTCCTCCAGGCGCCATCACGCAGGAACACTAATATCTGCACGGACGGCATCTCATTCCTCAAGTGCAGCCACGTTGCTGCTGTTATGTGTGTGTGTTGATCCCTATGCTGGCAGCCTCTGAGGGCCCAGAGAGTTCACCAGTGTCACATGATCACTCATGTGTAAAGTTCTTGGCACATACAGATCAAAATGTTTACCCTCCAGTTCAGCTGATTCAAAAAGAAATCCTGTTCATTGCATTATTTCTTATTATATAATTTACTTTGGGTAATCTCTATTTCACTTGTAGTTTCTGTTTCTACTGTATGAAATATAGGCCTCTGCAGTAAATTATATTAGTTGAAAATGTTAGAGTTAAAAAACACGTGAATTATAATTGCATGTTATTTATGTGGACTGACAGCTTTAAAGTGAGTAGTTGTAGTAGTAGTGTAACATGTTGTCATAAATTTGATTTATTTGGGTTGAGGACTACGTGAGTGGGAATACAATTTCTTGTTTCTATTTTTATTTCTAATTTTAATTAAGATTTAAATTCAATAAAGATTTCCCAAATTCCAAAAGTGTGTCAACCTTTAATTATTTTCTTTTTATTAAAATGAATGTATTTGAGCTATGAGTTATAAACATTTTCAATTTTTTTGTCAGTAAATATTAAACAGTAATTAAAACATTATTACTAAAGAACTACTTATTTGTGAAAATATAAAGTTTTTGTTGAAAACCTTATTTTTTATTTGCTGTTAGCTTGAACTCCTTTATATTATTTTCTATATTCATCTTTTTTAAAAACTTACAATATGATAATTCAAAATGAAATACAGTTTGATTAATACAATACGTGTGTGTGTCCGTTCTTAATTTCCAGCAGTGTTGGAAATGGAAGGTCAAAATTTCATTAAAACAATTTTGGACAAATAAATTAAATTCAGAAAAATAAATCATTTTGCTCTGTAGCAATATGTCTCCAAATAATAAAAATGTCAAGAATAAATTATTTTTTTTTTACATTACACTTAAAAGTTATTGCATTTTTTGTACATTTACCCTTGTTTGTTATTTCTATTTGAAATACTGACTTCGAGGGTAAAAAATAATTCATTATGCATGACCTTTCACTCCCCGTTTACCTGCATTGTTATGGAAAGCCTTCAAAGCGCGGTTTTTATTTTGAACTGAGAATCCGATTGTATTGGATTTAAAAGCGACATGAAATCAGCCAAATCAATCAGGTATTTATCACCATTTTGGCAGAATAAAAAAACAATACGATCAATAAATACATTTAAAAAATACACTAACTTATACGCACCCCCCTGTGACAAAGTGACAAAGTGAATAGCGCGCGTGGGAAATGCCGGAGTGTGTCTGGTCTTTTGGCTCGAGCGTTGGATTCATCATTGGCATAATTGTTAGCAGACAGCGGATGACAGCAACATCGCCCACTGCCGCTGACTGTTAGACTTAAACTTTTAATTGATTGGTTGCATATAGAGGCCTTGGCAACTCAGGGGGAAAA